ATTTCTAAGAAATTTATGAATATTATATTTTGTTTCCTTTTTTGTATCTATGAATTCATATTTATGCTTCCATATGTATATAAATGCTTTTTTAGTTTAATAATTTATAAGAACCTATACTAAGTATGAGTATACTTATTTATAACATTATATAAACATTTCATTATATTTAGTCACAGTGATAAAAACTACTACTACTACTACTATTTCATTTTATTAAATATTTTATTATCACAGCTGGTGTTATAATTTTATATCTATTTTTATAAAATTTTTCTTTTTGGTTTATTAATCACTTGTTATTGAGGTTAATTTGTATTATACAAAATAAAAATATAAACATCATATAATATTCTATAGAATATAACATAACATGCTATAGGTTATATGTTAGTAGTTGGAAAAGATCAAAATCCTTATTTGGATTTATTCATACATCCCAGACAAAAAAGTATACTATTTCAGTCCCATTTTAGGGACCAAACAGAAGGTGTAAGAAGTGAAAAATTCATTAATAAACAAGCCATATCGGTCTATGGTTTAACCCATCTCCGAAACCGAAACGGAATATTGTAATAGGCTGGGAATCCAGAAATATGCAATTGCATGTATGCATCCTATTGACATTTGTTTCTGCAAATATTTGCAATTGATGCAGTTTGTTTGGTATTGAAATAATTTCTTTTTAGAAATTTGAGTAACACGGTCCATAATTGACCCAAATCCCCATAAAATATACTTATTCAAAATTCCATATGAATACACCATACATGTACATTAGATCGAATCACAAAAAACGGTGCTTGAGTTACCCTTCTTAAAATATTCGTTGTTATGTCATATGATGTTACCCAAAATATTTTGGGTTTAGTGTTGTCCATTCGTGAGCTGGTTAGTTTTCAAGAAAATATGAGGGGGGTCCTCAAATTAGGACACCTCGGCTATGTTAAATTTTTAAAACGATCCTATTTCTTCATTTGAGTTCCGATTTTAAAAAAAATTCGTATATAGAATCTCCTCATCAAGCATTATAAAAAATGTCGTCGTAGCAGTAAATTATCTCTTATAGATTAGGAGATATTCGCATTTGAAAATTAAAATTTTAAAATTTTTACCGTCCTTACTTTAGTTTTTTTGATAATAGCGGGTCCAAATATTCCCGATTTTCGGAATACTTTAAAAAAAAATTAAAAAATGTTTTTTATTCAGTTTTTGCGAAGATACAAATTTTTCAAATTGCAATAAAAATTTTATTTATGAATATTTTTTGATAAAATTTTACAGTTCAATCGGAACTCAAATGAAGAAATAGGATCGTTTTAAAAATTTAACATAGCCGAGGTGTCCTAATTCGAGGACCCCCCGCCGGGCCCCTAGTTGGCCTATAAGGTCCAAATTCAAAACCTAAACTCGACAACACCTCCTCTTTGTGCATACCAAATTTCATTAAAATCGGGTTAACCCTTTAGAAGTTACCGAATTATTTCCCTCTTTTTTTTTTTCCTATACCACTGTGCGGTGGTCGTTCGTGAGGTGGGTAATTAAGTTAAATTTTATAAAATTACTGTAATTTTTTAAAATTTTACAGTTTTTTTTTTTAACAAAATATACAAAATGGGGTATCATTTACAAAATTGTGCATAAATTTTTGGTACATGACAATAATGAGAAGACTTTTATAAATGATTAATACATCATTCATCACGGCTTTAAACCCCTTTCAAATGATACCCCACATTGAATTTAATGTCAACCACTGGGTGAGCTTTTGTGACGACTCACAACCGCCCCATTGTGCTTCTTACACGTAGGTGGCAATTTACGTATATGGAATTTCCGGTCCAGTATACGTGCAATTTGCTCAAGTACTTGGTCAATGGTCAACTATCTAATGGCTGACCATTGCTGCCCCGTTGCTTAAGTTCCGAGATGCAAAAACATCACTTCCGTTTACAACCACGCAGATGGGATGGCCTCTGATGAGACGGCAGAGACGTAGCCGCTAGACCGAAGAACAGAGTTTACTCTGAACATACCTGGACAAGGAATGAAAATTCAATAGTATCACCTTTCATTCATCACCTTTAAACCATCACTATTTATCCGACACAATCATAAGAGAGCAACATACGACAGACTCACTCTAGGTATATTGGCGAATGAGTTCCGTATACCCCTACAATCATCCTGTATCATATACAATTAACACCAACTCATTCACAACACTTAGTCCCACAGTCACTCCTCTATTGTCATTCGGCAACAGCATCGAACTTATACCGAAATATAGATTTCATCGTGCATCAGTCTTTTAAACGCTACTTACTCTTCCCGCGAATTTGGATTTAAAACACAGCCACTACGTGGATCCCGAAGGAACCTCAACCAACTGATCAGCCAGGACAAGTCCTGCGGGCAACTGGCCACCCGTAGTACCAGTTTATGTGGTTCTCTGGTTCGACCCCATGTCAAATCATTCCAAGGACTAGCCGAGGAGAGAAATGACATAACCAGTTTATAGTCCCGGCACCCTAGAGGTACTAGTAGCACCTCTTTACCCCGGGATTGCAATACACCAAGATGAGGGTCTTTCATCAAGGAAACATGTCCCGGGAGAAATACCCCATATTGAATATATTTATTGTTTCAAAACAAAACTAAAATTTTAAAAATTTTTAAATTTGATTTTACCAACGGCCATCGCGGAGAAATATTTTGACGATGGGTATATAAAGACTAAAAATAATTTTTCATAATATTTACAATCGTACAATGTACGACATTTTTCGTATATATTAAGCAAGAACTATTTACAGTGTAATTCATTTATAAAAAACAAATCAAGAAGATACAAAACAAATAGTTTAAGGTTTTTCTCAAAAATCATTAAAATTCTTGGAAATTTCTGTTAAAACTTTTTATTGTTTTATACGTTAGCAAAAATTATTTTCTTACATTATTAATAGTCATTTGTATATTTTTTTTGTATTCTATGGAACTTCACTAGACTGTCATATGTATGTATTTTTTATATTCTATGGAATTTCACTTTGTATATCACAAATAGTTTTCATTTTTTGTTTTGCTAAATTCATTGGAAGTGTTTTAAAAAATTAAGTTTAAAAATAATTTCGACCTTGCTGCCTAAAACAATTTTAATAATAATTTTCCCTAAATGGTTTCCCGCACCACCGGCATCAGACAAAATCACTATACAGATTTTCATTCATAAATAAGACACAATTACCCAGTAGAACGGGGTGACCGTAACGAACTAGCAGTAACTTGTAGTGTTAACTATAGACTATGGAGTACTAAAAACTATTCATAGATGGACTATCATTCTAGTTGAATTGGATTTTTAAAAATGTCCAGTTTTGCAACATATTAGAGCATAATGTAGACCATAGCTCTGCAATAGGTTGCTTAAACTTTTGATTAATCAGGGCTACCCAAGTGACTATTATCTCCCTTCTAGATCTAATAATTCCAATTCAATAAAATACTTTATTAGGCATTGGAAAAAACACTATCCAAAATGGATACTTAGAGTCTTTTCTAAAACTGCTGGGATACAAACATGAATACGGTAAAGAAAAAACACAACCACTAACAAACAAAAGCAAAACAAAAACATGGATGGCATAGAACAGTATCATTAGGGTTGACAGTTTTTATGCACACAGTTGCTTCTTGTTTTGGAATGAAATTTTGTTGCATCCTTTTGTGTGTGTGTGTTTTTCTAGTATATAAATGCTTGCATATCCTTGTTTTTCATGTTGCCAACAAAAAGAACAACAAAAGCTGTGAAATAAAAGGAAAAAAATGTTTACTTCTTGATGCTTTTGTTTTTAGATTGTCCTTGATAAGGATGTTATACTTACCCACTCTCCTTCTGTGTCTGAAAGTTTTTATACTCTATACACCACTACAATGGGGAATAATCATTTATTCTGCTTTTTGTTTAACTTATAGAAATAACGCTCCTGTATATAACTTAAATTATAACAATTTTTTCAGAATAATTTTGTGATATAGCGATATCTGCCCGTATCCATACAAAATGTTTATCCTTATATTTAAAATGTTGTTTGGATCGGTCCATATTTAGACATAAATTTTTATCATCAATTCTATTAATCGGTAGTATAAATCGATGTAGGGTATCTTATAATCTGACTTGACTGTTTTCACTATCTTACTCAATTTTTCTTGTACTTGGCTGATTGCTGCTGCTGTTCGCTTGGTTGTATGTTGCTGATGGAGAGAGTTGTTCCTGGTTGGCTGACTAGTTCTTGCTTACTTTTGTTGCACTTTCCTGTGGCTGTTGTTGAGTAACAGATTTGTGTAGTTTCTACTTTCATTTTTTATTTTTATCCACTTAAATAGTTGTAAGTAGTTGTTTTTTTTATAACTGTTGTTGTTTTTCGTTTTTAGCAGCTTTAATTTTTAGTTTAGTTTTTAACTATTTTTATATCGTTTTATAATACTCTGTAGTTCTTTTATTATTTCTCATTTTCATTTTACTAAACTTTAATTTATTATACATATTTTAAGCAGCACGAGTTTTAACTAAATGTTTTATTTTTCAATTTAACATTTTGTGTTCTTTGTTTTTTTGTACAATGTGAAAATTGAATTTCATTTTTCGACTTGCATTTGTCATATTGCACTTAAGAAAAAAACTTTCTCTTTCGATTTTAGTTTTAAGTGCTTTTGTTTGAAAATTGGTTGTATATGTGTGTATTGTAAAGATAAAGATGACTGCTTTAGTTTGCCAATGATGTGTGAGGAGAAGTGATTAAAAATTATATATTTATAGCCAAAAATAAAGTTTTGATTAATTTTCAAAAGTATGTGAAATGAAATGAACAATATAGATGATTCTATAGTGAAGGATTTTTTTCTATGTTTTAATAACTTAATGCAAATAAAATTAATTTAAAGCTTAAAAACAAATATTTTGTTTATATAAAGTATAAACTTTCTTGTCTTTTCAGATTATCCATATTTATTGAATAATTTTGGCATTTATAACTGAATGATGAAAGAATTTTATACATAAACCAGGTACTTAAGAAATTTTATTAAAAAAAACATTAAAATTATTATAAATAATTAATATTTATTATATATATGTACGTATTTCGGCTCTCGCTCGACTTGTATGAAGATTTGAGTCGTTTTAGTCATAAATATACATTAATTATACCCTACACCACTTTAGTGGGGAGGGTATATTGGATTTGTGCTGATGTTTGTAACATACAAAAATATTCGTCCTAGACCTTGCCGATTGGTATACCTTAAAGTATACCAATCGGCTTAGAATCGTTTTCTGAGTCGATTAAGCTATGTCCGTCCGTCTGGCTGGCTGGCTGTCCATGTAAACCTTGTGCGCAAGGTACAGGTCGCAATTTTCAAGATAATTGAATGAAATTTGGCACGCACGTTTTATTTGACCTAAGCCTATTGAAAATGGTTAAAATCGGTCCATTATTTCACCTAGCCCCCATAGAACAGAACCACCCGAAAAGGGCTTCTGAGCTCATAATTATGTTAAATATACAGATATACCGATAAAATACGGCACAACTAAGTTTTATAGAAGTCTTGATGACCCTGCCAAATTTCATAAAGATCGGGCCACATTTGACCCTAGCTCCCATACAAAGTCCCCTTCAGAAAATTACTTGAATGTCCCAAATTAACTTATAAACACAAATATCGCGATGAAATTCAGCACAATAAAATATTATGTAAATATAAATATATTCATAAAATTTTATCGGGCTTGGTCCATATTTGCCCTAGCCTCCATATAAAACCTCTTTCAGAAAATTAGTTTTTCATCCGTAAATTGCTTAAATGTATCGGAACAAGGGAATATTGAAGATAAATGCTTTATTATGAAAAATAAATCACATTTAATATTCATAACTGGTGTAGGGTATCATATGGTCGGCCACGCCCGACTATACTTTCTTACTTGTTTTATTTCGTACCTTCATGGAAGATTTTTGTATCAGTGACCACAATGCTTTAATAACACAGACCAACCAAATAAAAGTTTATAAAAACTCAATCTGATATTTTTTGGAAAATGAAAATTTAGTTCATTAAGATACCATTCTCAAAATTTTTATCCAGACGTCAATATTTGGTGAGCTGGATCAAAGGATTAAAAGGTCCTTTTTAAGGTTTTTATAATTTTGTTCATATTTCTGGCAACCATCAAACCTTACATATGATACCATTCAAATTTGGTATCATATGAAAGGTCTTTGTTAATAACGGTTTGTATGTTGTTGTTTGCATTATTTTGCAATGTTTTGATAGCGTACATAGGGGTCTATAAAATCAAATAAACTTCGATCTAGATTGAAATTTGAAAAACGGAAAAAATCGTTTCCGTAGATTTTATTGACGATTATTATGTATTAATTTCAATGAATTATATTAAATGCTAAAATTATATTAGATTATCTGAAAATTTCCCGAAAAATTAGAAAATTTCGATTACTTTTTGCTGTTACACAAAAATTTCTGATATGGAATTTAAAGCGTCTCGAGGACCTTTCCTTTGGATGAAATATGAAAAAAAAATCATAAAAAAACTCAAAAAAGGTCCTTTTTATCCCCAAATATTACCGCCAGGACAAAAAATTTGAGAAATGGTATATTAGAATCAATTAAACTTTAATCTTAGTTGGAAACCTTATTTTTCCTCCATACAAACGGGGCAACCCTTATGTACATAGTTCATATCCCTACAAGCAAGGCGATACGAATATGATACAAATTCGTATTACTTACGAAATTTTATATAAATATAATAATATATATACATTTAAGGGTTAATATCGATTTCTTTGATGTCATTATAAATATGGGTTTTCAGTATATATTTTTCTCAGGTTTTATTTAAATCTGTTGAAAACTAAATAATATTTCACTATGGTTTTAATAAAGATTCCCAATATTTTATAATTTGACTTTAACCTTCACAGTTTGTGGGTTAATATCATTAAAATTTACTTCATTTACTATAATTTCAGATATATGTATATATTTCCTATCATCTGAAATTTTATGTTCTGAAAATATTTTATATAAAATTCATAGCAATAAAGAATTAAGGCAAATTTCCATAAATTTTACAAAAAAAAAAAAATTCTCCGAAATTCTCCAAATTAAAATCACAAGTTTAGCTAGCCTGTGAGAGATATTGACCTAATTTTTCACAATTTTATTCCACTCATCAGATATAGTATTGTATAGTTTTAGATCGAGCTTGTAGCAGTGAGAAATCTCAGGATATCATTAAGCTTAGTTCCAGATATCTCACCAAGGTTAGATATAAAGTAACTGCCAAGAAAACGATTTGTTTTCGCGGATAGAGCAGGACATTCGCAGAGAAGATGGAAGACCGTTTCTTCCTTTTCCCTGTCCTTACGAGCCCAATCCTACTTGCATGTCTGCCTAGCACCCTGTTTAAGCCTCGCTACGCTGCAAGCACATAATATGAAGATTTATAGGTAGAATGTTCAAAATAGTGTTCAGAGCTTCTGAAGGACTAGTTCTTAGAGCACCTGTTATCCCAACGCATGCTGATGCCTGAACTTTGCATAGCTGATCTACAACAAATTTCTTCTTAGTTGAAGTCCACCATACAAGAGATCCATATATAAGAATAGGACGTACTATAGCTGTGTACAACATCCATTTAACTATATTGGGACTAACCCCCTCATTTTATAAAACGAAACTTTGGTTAACGTAAAAACTGTGTATGAAGAATACTGGTAAATTTGAATTTTTTTCATACAATTTTTTTTGGACGTTTTTTGTTTCGGGTAAATGGGTAAGTCCCCATTTCATTCCAAACATTTTACGACAGGTATAGTAGGCAATTAATATTTTTTAGTTCTCCCAATATGCTTTGATACATTTTTGCTATAAACGTTTTTTATATTACCATATAATTTCAATTTAACTTTATAAATCAATATATAAATTTGAATAAAAAAAAACATACTTTTCAATTATACACTTAGCAACTTAAAAAGGTCAAGAGCTGAAATAATAGCAACAGACAACGAAAAATTTAAACACAAAAAGAATTTATTATTCCAAAACTTTTGTGAGTTCTTAACGAAAGCAAAAACATAGAATATAACGAAAATAAATTGAATTCAATTTTTATAAGAGGTAATATATATAATTGGTCATTTGGTGTGAAATTAATTTTGTTTTTCATCAAAAATGTCATCTTTTACTCATAACGCAGCCACAACAGAAACAACCTGCACAAGCATGCAGTAGCAAGAGGCCAATACTGATGTAAAACTATTATAAACTGAAAATTACTTATGCAAATGTAAATATACATACATATGTAGATGCTCTTGTGCCAGACTAAGTTTGGCTATCAACCAAAAACTTTTTAACCATTAAATTACATTATGTAAACCAATATATACTTGTTATATATGGTGGCATATTTTATATATATTTTAAAATTTTTTGTAAGAGAAATACAAACAATTTGTAAAAATATTTCATAACCGATATTCTATGCAATTTAAAATGCAAATTGATGCACAGTGGCTGAAAGGGAGTATAACAAATAAAAATAATACACACTTTTAAAATACAAGATGTACGACAACAACAAAAATAACAAATTGTTTTTGTAGTTATAAACAATTTTTCACAATTTGATTGTGAGTATTTCAATTTTTTTGTGGCTGTTTTGAATTGAATGTTTCTAAAGAACACAATATAGAGAGAGTGGCAGAAGAATGCTATTGTATTGGTAAGCTATCCCATACAGGTAGAAAACATTTTTTATTGGTAGTAAAAACTGCATTGATTCTAATGAACATATTGTTATGTTCTTTGAAATCATAACTTTAGTTGTTCTAACATTATAACGTAAAATTTTAGTTTATCAAAAAATATATATAGACATATACAATAATTGATTAATAAGTAATCTATCAAAATTTTCATAAAATATCTTAATTCTTTTTAAAAAATGGATTTAGTCCTTTTAAATGAACCTTCCAGATAACCCTCGTATATGTGTGCATAAAGAAATATGAATGAGTAGCTGAATGAGCAATGAACTACAATAACTGAATGACTGACTGACTTACTGAATAAAAGATGATTGTGATTTCGTAACAATGAATGGAACCCGAAAATAGAAGAATGAAATGAAAGAAGTACAATAGTTATTGTATTGCGTGTGCATGTTTTATTAGGATTTGTTTTCTTTGAAAATTGAACAAGGTCAGTTTGAAATTTTCATGTATTTCATTTTTTTTTTTGTCTTTTTGGCTCTTGACTTTTAAAAATCTGCAGGTTAATACAAGAAATTCCTGGTTTTTAATCTAAAACCATCATCACCCACTAGCAGTAAGGACAGTAAGTACTTCAATATTACTATCAATGACTTTGATTAAAAAAAAAAAAATAAAGAAAGAGAAATGACGTATAAAGTGCTCCATAAAACCATTTGCTTGAATTTATTCAAGAATACAGATTCGGTTTTTACTGTTTCTTTATGTAAAAATAATTGAAACCGTTTGATATAAATAAAAGGTCATGATAGATTTTCGAAATAAATATGTATATGGGCAATTTAGTTGCAAGTGACCCAACTCAAAAAATCGATTTGGGTGAAATTTGCACCTAGGTTAGTTCTATTGGATAGTAGCTGTATCGGTCAAGATCCGCTGGACTTAGAGGGGGTCAAAGTTGGACATTTTGGCCATATAGGGTTTTATTCAAATGAGTGTAACTTTTCACCCATTTGTCCTAGCAACAATTGTCCAATGGAGTTCAGTTAGTTAGTAAGTAAGTTAGTTAGTTAGTTAGTTAGTTAGTTAGTTAGTTAGTTAGTTAGTTAGTTAGTTAGTTAGTTAGTTAGTTAGTTAGTAGTTAGTTAGTTAGTTAGTTAGTTAGTTAGTTAGTTAGTTAGTTAGTTAGTTAGTTTGTTAGTTAGTTGTTAGTTAGTTACGTTTCGTTTTTAGTGTTTCGTTCGTTAGTTAGTTGTTCGTTTC